CTGCAAATTTGCAATATTATCAGTTTGGATTGTCTTTAATCTTATCTGTGTAATCCCAAGTCTTTTTTTTTATAAATATATTCATGGCAATTGTCCTGGTGGGCTTTCTCCTTTGTTGTTGAGTGCATCTCTGTGTGAGTGCTTGGGATGAATGAATGTTTTATACTATTATAGTCCCGCATTGATTTCGGTCAGTCAACTGATGTTTCTGCCACATTTAGTGATTGTAGGGTTTTTTTTTATTACTAATCTCATTTTCTTTAGTTTCTTGTAAATAGTTTTTTGTATTCATATTGTAAATACTCATTGGGGTTAGTTTTTTGAATTGTTGTTTTATTCCCCTCCCACCACAGACATTGAATTGTAAATATGGGGATTAGTTAGTATTTTCATAAGAGACAACGCGGTATTATGGTGGTTGTAGTAAGAAAGGTATATATGAATGTGTTGTTTTGGTGTAAGGAATAATGTTCGTACGATTGGGTCAGTGTTTGCGGCTATCTAAGTTATAGTTAAGACAGAAGAAGACCGTCCTTTCCCCATTCCCCACCTTCGGCTATGTGCCACATTTCTATATTAAAGAGAATAAATATCGCTTTCTCCTTTGGTACCTGTACTCCCTGAATTTAAGCGAAGTACTAGATTGGCGGTTAGGTCTCATCGTTTTACTGTTGAAACTGCTAACTGTAACCGTAAGTTGTATTTCAAGAGTTTCATCTACTTCTTCTCTTTAGAACCCGTCCTGGGTATGACGATAAACTACATCCGCGTCCTGGGTAAGACGATAAACTACATCCAACAGCAAGGCCTCTGATCAGGAGGTTTTGAGGAGCGTGGAACCACCGCTTAATTGCTGGTGTTCCCAGGTCCACCCTGACCCGGGGTGGTAGCACCTGTTAAGGTCCTAGATATGGGCAAATAGGTAACCCCTAAACTGGGGTCAAAACAACATGAAAGTGTAAAAATAGGTTTTAATATCAGAAATACTTAGTAAAAAAATGATTACCAGCTATATATTTTTTGAAAAAAAAATATTACCAGCGAAAGAAAATTATTACCAGAAATAGATTTTTAGAAGGAAAAAATATTACCAGAAATAGATTTTTGGAAAAAAAATATTACCAAGAATGGAAATAACCCACTGTGGTTGATATCCCGGTAACCAAACCAAACCAAATCAAACCTCTTTAGAACTCCTTCCCGGATTTTATATTTATGTCAACTACTTTTATCAAATATTTAAATGCAACGTCAATCATCATCACAATCATCACCATCATCTGCCTCCTTGAATACTGTTTTTTCTTTGTTGTTTTTCGCTCAGTAACATTTTCACATGTTCCTTCTCTCCCAGGAATCCACATGCGTCTACGTGGCTTTATTCCCTTCCTTGTGGTGAAATGATTAAACAAAGCACGTCAAAACGAAAACAAAAGTCTGAGAATTCCATATGTTAAATAACAGTTTAGAAGACTATTATTATTTTTTTTTTTTTAGAGGAAATGTCTCTTGGCTCCGACTTCCGGAGGTTGACCTCCGAGGTCCGATGGAAGCCATAATAAGGGAGTCGATTTTGATTGGCTGAGCCAGCGTGGGAATCATAGATTGAGAATGTTTTTTTTTTCAAGCTAGTTGCTTCCTGATCGTCCAGCGATGTAGACGTGTAAACTTTCGTGTTTGAAACGGCTCCCCAGTGAGTGGGAGTAGAGAACGACGGCCCCCATTGGATAGTTAATACATGTCGACATTAATAAAAATAGTTAAAGTAAAATTATCCGTGTATGGTGTCTTTTATCTTTACAGCGACCCCAGACGAGGAAATACGAGAGAGAAGATGCAAGATATATCGCGCCGTATTATTCCAATATTTCAAACAAAATCGTTGTAATACAAATCCTGGAATTCGCCCGCTCTGTCTCGGAAACACGAAAGTGATTAGCAAAAGTGGAAACTAAAATTGAAATGCCAACATATGATTGATATGTTGTTAGTTCGATTAATTGATACGGGAAGTTATGACACACAGATGCGTATATTAAGTTGGATGGAGTAAAATTGATGAATGAATAGGAATTGGTAAGATGGTGGCGCATATCGATGCTATCAGATTTTAGAAAATAAATAGATTTCTATTCAGTAATGACATGGATACTGACGAGGACAGGCGTAACAGTTCATAGGCTGAATATGAAGAAGTGACGCTGCAACTCCAAATGTTGCATGCATTAATTTCAACTTTTCTTATGAATAACTGTATTGTTTCTTTCCAGAGACTCTTCAAAGAAGGGTGGCTCTACTATTGGTTCAAAAAGTCATCAAGAACGGATATGACGTTAACATCACTGTGATATTGGTTCTAACCAAGTGTTTTTGATGTTAGGGAACAGAAGATAGTCACATAAGAAGAATAGAGAGGGTGATCTATCTATCTATCTATCTATCTATCTATCTATCTATCTATCTATCTATCTGGGTCTGTTTACAGGCATACATCTAACTC